AACGTAACATAAATTTAGGATGTGTTGTAGATCTATCAAAAAAGCTACCGTAGATCTATCAAAATCGATACTTTTGCTCATCTGATCGTTGTAAAAAATGATCAAAAGTAATGCAACACGTGATTTGTGCTACATGCTCGCTTATCTTTATATTGGCAATAATAATAAATATTAAAATTTTAATATTGAAAAAAGGTACCATTTATGAGTAAAATAAATAAAAAAAATAAAAGAATACACCCAGAATTGCGGGAAATAATGCAATCTAAGTAAAAATTTTTTTTTGTTGCACTACTTATGATCACCAGTGTATTTCACTGACAATCACTTCACTAACAGCTCATTTAGCCGACATCACGCCAGGTGAAATGTAGTAAAAATATATACCTGTAACTTATCAAATGCTTAACCCTAACCCTATGTGATGTCAGCTAAATGAGCATTTGGTGAAGTGACTGTTGGTGAATTGATCGGAACCCTGAACAAAGACCCGATGAAGTCAACTTTGCTCCCTGCTACCGCTCTTATACGACTCATTGAGCGATATCATCTTTCAGCAGACCGATTTGACCCATTACTATCAATCGAGATACTATCAGCCAGTATTGGGAGCGCATTGACCAGGCATAAAGATGATGATTACTTGAGCAAGCTGAAGATCAGCTTGGTATTAAGTCTACAAATGACTTATTTGAGAAAATTGAAAAATTATACAAGGACAAACACTCTATCGCAGACACACCATTGTTGCAAATACACTTCTGCATAATGCCATCTGTTGCATTGCAAAGAAGCGGCTTGATCCTATCCTCCAACGGGCTCGAATATATTACACTGACAGAATCGATCTTGGAAGCTACTGTCCACCCAGACGTGTATCGCAATATTACTATAACAATGATTTTTCTGGCCAAAACACGTAGCAAAATTTTACTACCACTAAAAATATTGAAGCAGTCTATAACTACCTCGGTATGAACCACGAAATTTCCTCTGAGATCATGGAAAAGTACTACCTTCCTGCTCGACAGCAAGGCAAACGAGTTACAGTTAAAAATGGCATACAAAACCCACAGGTGGTAGTGACACTGAATTCGGAAATCTTATTAACAATCTGTATGTACATGCTTCATATTTTCTTATGGAGCATCATGACATTGCTTTTATTCTAGGAGATATATCTATTACTGCGAGTTTTAAGACTAAATTTTAAAGAGCCTACAAGTAAAGATTTCTTTCTAATATTTTTATTAATGCATCAAAGTTTAGGCTACTAATTCTTTTATTTGTCACATTTTTCATTTTTTTCTCGCTTGTTTTGTTTTATCAAAAAATATCAGATATAGATAGTCATGTGCTGCAACTTGTTGATCCTTTAATTAAATTATCCTGAAAATTTTCCTTGACCTCTATCGCTACTGTTACACAACAAAGTTTCACATTTAAACTTTGTTTGTGTAACTAGTATACTTTCATTATACTTTCATATACTTTTATGTATAATATTTTAGTAGTTTATGCGAAGTATAAAGTATACTTTAATTAGACTGTAAATAGACTATAGCTTATTTTAGAGTTTGTCTATAGATATATATAGAACATTATGTATTTTAGTTCTTTAGTTTTTTTTAGTTTTTAGTGAGTCTTTTGGATAATTGTTTAGAAGAGTTATTTTGTTTTAGTGTGTTTGGAATGTACTAGGTTAGTAGTTGGACAAGGATATTTGAATTATTAGTGTCTAAGACATATTGGTTTAGTATTTTCTGGTGCCTTGTGTGTGTAAATAAATATTTGGCTTTCTCTTGTTAATAATTATGACTCTTTGCTAAATTGGCTAAGTAGATACAAAGTCTCTCCCTTGGTCGTAACACTACCCTATAAAAAAATGTCGAACAGTATTTTATATTCTGTGTTTTGTCCATAAATGTTGCATATTCACGGAGTTTATAATTTTAAATAATAGAAATTATCCGGTACCTTACTATGATCATACCAACAGAATAACTCGAGTTATTTTGATGATGATTGCATCATTATCAAATAACTCCGTTATTTGATGATGACGCAATCATCATTAAAAGAACTCGAGTTTTTCTGTTGGTTCGGTCGTCGTAAGATACCGGATAATACCGTTATTGAATGCTACTCAGCCAATAACTTGTTTATCTGGCAGCGAATTTAATATACGTCATTTCTGGGCCCCTTTGGGGCCCAGAAGCTGACATATTAAATTTCACAGCCAGATAATGAAATTATTTTACAAATAATTTCCGTTATTGGCTGCTTCACATCCAATAACTATATATTATTTGACTTGTCTAGATTTTGTCGATCATGTTGCAGACAGAGTTTTTACAAAAAATATGGAAATATTCAGAAAATTTTTTTTACAGGGCTATTGTTAGCAGAAAAAACTTTACTGAGTAATTTTCTAGAGCACAACCTTGTACACATTTTCAGTATGCAATTTTTTGAACCTATATACTTAACATGCCTCTGGTTAAAAGACATCTTGATATATTAAATAACTTTTTTGTTATTAGAGAATATCAATATAGCCAGAGTAACATGTATTTATATCCAAAGCTATTTTTATATTTTTTGCTAAAGTTTAGAGCAGTCTTTCATAAATTTTTATGCATAGAATAAGTATTACATATGATATAAAAATAGCTTTTACTGTATGTACTGATTATGCCGAAATCACAATTTAATCGAATCAGCATAAAAATTATTCTGCTAATTTTTATTAAGTGTTTCAGAAATTATGATAATAGCTGTAAACAGGGTATATAACATCTGAAGCAATCCAAATCTAATTATAGTTTAAATCATGTACAGTTTTAAAAAAATTAGAAGAATTTATATTAAGGAAAATAGTTAAATATAAAGGTTCAAATTTTACAAAATTTTACAATTAAGAGCCAAAATAACTTTGCATTATGATTGATAGTGGTTCTTTGAATGTTATTGTTGTAAGTAGGAATAGAACGATAATAAAGTTCAGAATATACTTAGATTGGAACAGAATAATTATACTAAAAATACTAGCCCAAATCTTGAATCAACTTAATTAACTTAAATTCTATTCCCACCTATAACATATATATATTATTTTATATGATCAACTCTTTCTATAACGAACTGAAGATTCTGAAAGAAAAAGTTTGTTATAGAAAATCACTATGTTTTCTTAAGAACCCTGCCACTTTTATATTTAACTGTTATGAAATTTCAAAATTTTGAGTTCATTATATCCAGAGTCGACTGTATATCCTTTCACTAATACAGTTTAACTA